ACTCAGAAGGCAGCACCTGGCATACTTTAATTGGTGTTATTCCTGGCTGATTTGCCTCCACATTTGAGAACATAGGAGAGAACACTTTTCTCTTGCCATTAGCTCTAGGCCCTTCTTTCTGACTTATGAAGAAATATTAAAAGAACTAATATGTACAACTTCAGTAAACAGTGACTAAGAAGGGATATGCTAATTATGTGCAAGAGTTTAAAAGGTGCATACACTGAGGAGGATGAGAAGTTATTTAGCCTGGTAGCTGAATATTGCCAGGAGACACAAAAACACATTAAGCAAAGGGAGATTTAAACTAAACATTAGATCCCAGAATAAATATAACACTCAGCGATGTGAGCAGGCTTGTGGAAATTGGTTGAGATGTTTAAAATACCAAAATACTGAAATTTGCATTTCAAGTAAACATTTCTGTAAGGACAAAAAATAATAGGAACAAGAGAACGACCCAAATTGTGGCCATAGAACCCGTCTACCAGAGAACTTAAACAGTAGGTTTTGTGTCTGTTTCTGGCCTGAGGGTCTTTTTAAGGTTGAGAGAATAAAAGACAATATTGGCAGGACCCTGGGGTTGAGAGTAGCCAGTCAGGGCGAACTGAAAGAAATGGAGAAAAGTTACCCTCTTGGGGACAGGCACATGGGGACAAAGGGAAAGAAAGGAACAGGAGAATCTGAGTGCATTTTAGAATTTTGTGACTCAAGATTCAGGTGGTATATTCCATGCCTTAAAACAAGAAATGGCACTTGCTGAGATTGTATCGTGCCTGTGTCCACAGGGAGTTCTGTTGGTTTCCAAAACGATAACTCGCCATGGCAGATAATTCCTTGGGACATGGCCAGATATGCCCCCGTGCAGTCATTCAGCAACAGAGTACTCAGCACACCCTTTCTTCCCCAGTAAAAGAGAACTCTATTAGGATCATTAAAAGGCAGTGGAGTTTTATGCCAACTTCTCTGACAGAAATACTTAGCCACTTTTCAATACTTAGCTCTATCTCTTAAACTACAGGAAGTGCTGACAATAACTCTAGAATCTCTTTGAGTTTCTTAACTCAGTTCGGATTTAGCTCAGTCCATTCAGGTTACTATAACAAAAATACCATAGACTGGGTAGCTTATAAACAACTGAAATGTATTTCTCGCAGTTTCAGAGCTTGGGAAGTCCAAGATCAAGGTGCCAGCAAATTTGCTGTGTGATGAGGGCCCAATTCCTGATTCAGAGACAGCTGTCTTTTCTCTGTGTCCTTACATGGCAGAAGAGGCGAAGGAACTCTGGAGTTTCTGTTTTCTTTTCTATTTTCTTTTTTTTTCCTTTTTTTTTTTTTTTTTTGAGATGGAGTCTTGCTCTGTCGCCCAGGCTGGAGTGCAGTGGCTCAATCTCAGCTCACTGCAACCTCCGCCTCCTGGGTTGAAGCAATTCTCCTGCCTCAGCCTCCCAAATAGCTGGGATCACAGGCATATGCCACCACGCCCCGCTAATTTTTTTGTATTTTTAGTAGAAACGAGGTTTCACCATGTTGGCCAGGCTCGTTTCGAACTCTTGACCTCAAGTGACCCACCCGCCTCGGCCTCCCAAAGTGCTAGGGTTACAGGCATAAGTCACCATACCCAGCCTGCAGCTTCTTTTATAAGTGCACTAATCTCATTCATGAAGCCTCCATCTTCCTGACCCAATCACCTCCAAAGAGGTATACTTCCAAATACCATCATCACTTTGAGGATTAAGTTTCAACATATGAATTTTGGAGAAACACAAGCATTGAGTCTGTAGCCAGCTAACTCAACAAACATTTATTGAGTGACTAATCTGAGTCAAACCCTGTGCTAGTTCATGAGGATATTATGAGTAAGGCATGGTCCCTGCGGCGCTTACAATCTGGAGCTTTGGCTTTCCAGCAACAGAAAAGCTCCCATTTCCTGTTAAATTTCTGTGAATTGGTAAGAAATTCTCAAGTGAAGCAATAGAGATAATGCATTATGGGAAAAGTCTCCCGGGTGTGACTAGAACAGACTAATCAGGAAGGGCCAGGGAATGCAAGAGTTTCAACTGGAGGATCCAGGGGATAGGGAAAGGAAGCATGACAAGAGGGAGGGCCCAGGGATGTCTCTCCATGTTTTAAATTCAGTTTCTGGCCTAAGAGTCTTCTTAAGGTTGAGAGAATGAAAGGAAATACTGGCAGGACTCTTGGGTTGAGAGCAGCCAGTCAGAACTGAAAGAACTGGAGAAAATTTGCTCTCATGAGAACGGACACATCAGGGAAAAAGAAAGAAAGGAGCAAGAGAATTGTTGGATGAGATTGGTTGGATGATGGAATACAGTGCAGTTTCCTCTGCCTGTAGTTGGTTTGCACCTTGAGCCTGCTCCCACTTTATTGAGACAGCTATGCACATCGTGTGCTAGAGACAGAGGCTGCCATTGGAGAGGAGGAGAGCTATCACAGGAGAAGCAAAAATAGTGTCTCTGCCTCCCATGTGGGTCTCTTAAGGGAAAACTCTCCTTTTATCCTCAGGTAGTTTAGGGGAAATTCTAGAGACATGAGATTGAAAGTTTATCTGATAAGGACATGTTTTGTTATCTGCTTATCAGGAAAAAACAAGATTATTAATATTTATATTGGTAACGTAAGAATGCCAGGCCCCAAACACAATAAATATTGTTTTATTTTCTCTCATTCATCTTAGTACTTACTCTCACAGGTGCCATCTTCCAGAATCGGTAGGGCTTTAGTTGGTGCAGCTAAAAATAATCTTTCTCTCTCCTGCAACTGTTTTGTTTTTGTTTCTGTTTTAGAAATTCAAAAAGCAAAGTAGGGACCCATAATCCACCATTTCTAGGTATTTCATGGGAATTGGAAAGAATTCAGTGTTGCCAAGCATCTCTAAGATTATCCTTGTTCTCTCCTTCTACTGACAGCTCTGTCCCCAACCAAGGTTAAGATTATGGGTGGGGAATATGCAGGATGGGAAGAAATACTAAAACATTCTAAAATTATTATTAACTATTTTCTCATTACAATTTACCATTATGCTCAAAATAAATAATGCTATCTTACTTTCTATTCCACCTCTGCATTCTAGGTTTTCAATGAGCTTACACCTATTTCTGCCTGCTAAATAAAAAACTAATTGTCAAAGTTGCCATTAGCCTTCAGGGTATTTATGTTCAGCTAGAAGAGTCTTAGCATCAAATAGTTGGCATGACACTTAGTCCATAGAAACAATATGCAGGAAAGATCTTTTTTACCTCTTCAATCCCAAATCCTGCCCAATTAATCCAGAAAAGTGGCCAGTTACCTTTCTGAGATTACTTTTTCTTCCCTACTACATTCTACTTCTGTAACATGTAAAATCAGATCTAAGTACTTGCTTTAAATTTTAGCAAGGAAGAAGAGAAAAACGTAGACAGGAAAAAAATAACCTCTTATAAAAAAAAATTCTCAGTAGAAGCATATGCTAGATAATGTGCAGAACTTCAGAACCAAATAATGGTATATTACTCTTGCCTGTTTTTTTAATCAAGATTGTATAGTTTCCTCAAAACTAGTGATATTGACAATGGAGAGAAGACTTGAAGCTTGGAATATCCAGAGAGTTGTGTTATAGAATGTTAGCAGAGAAGCCCCATGTTCTGTTGGGAGCCTAGTTAACAGGTTTAACTGACATATTTAGAGTAAATTTGTCTCCTTGCTAACTGTCTGTTATGTTGATTTGGTCATCGGGGACTTCCCAGAAAAGGAAAACAGCTTGTGGCATTTGAGCAGAGCTAATGACTGGTTCCATTTAGTGTGGAATGACCAGGAGCATCATGGTTGCAGGACTGTGTTCTTTAACACCCTTCCCAGCTGCTCTATCCTAACTCGTGTAACAGTGGAGTTTTGAAATTTGGGGGCAAGGGGGTTCAATTTAGCTAGAGTTGAAGTCCTTGGGCCTTTCTGGCCAAGCTCTGGCTAAGCTCTTCCTGCTGCCCAATCTCATTTCCTCATCACCTTCTCTTTCTTCTTTTCATTTTTCTCCCCCTCCACTTCTTCCTTATTTCTCTCTCCATCTCTTCAGGAAGAAAATAGTTTAATCAATTATACTCCACATAGGGGAATTTAAACAAGGTTTCCTTAGTTGAGATTACTTTACTAAAATGCACACACTCAATTATGTAGATTTTTCCAAACAGGACCTCCCTATTCCTAATCCAAACTTTTAAGCCAGTGATATTTAACTCCCTACCCCAAACCCCAGATGACACAGTCCATCACAAACACACCATCAGCAGCACATTCTCATGGATCTGGCCCATGGCCTAAAAGCCTCTATGATGATGTAGTTTGATATAGAACACAACTGTCAAGACAGTCTAGCATACAATCCTTATGAACAGAATTTAACAGAATCTAGAGAAGAGTGGTGGCTTCTCAAAAGGAAGCCACTTTGTCTAATAACAATGTTGGTGTAAAGAGTGCCTTGCACAACAAAAAAAGAGTGCTTTGCAGCGTGGTGTGACAGATGATGTTGGTGCCATAGCCCCTCACAGCACTTTATGATTTGCATGTACCTCCTGCCAGCTCCCACTTTGTTCCAAACCCTTAACCAGTGACTGGTGAGTGCCTGCACCTATAAACACCCCAGCTCCCAGCCTCATGATCAGAATCATTTTGAAGTAGGACATGAGCTGTCCCCAGGCCTCCCTGAAAGACTGAGCCACAGTTGCTCTCTGTGGGACTTAGCTTGACATTGCACCCTTGCTTGACTTCTTTCTCTTCCAAGTCCCATTTTCCCATTTTCTTTCTGGTTTTTCCTGAGAGCATTTTCTACTCAATCACTTTCACAAGACTTTTTGTCTTGAGGTCTGCTTCTGTGGAATCTGATGTCAGACAAAGTACATTGTCAAATCATTGAAAAGAAATATGGATTTATTGCTTTTAAAAAGAATAATGAGAGGATCTGCTGCCTATTTCAGACTTTAAAAAAGAATCATGAAAACCTCTGTTTTTCAGGAAGGGAATTTGAAGGAGAAGAAGAATACCTGGAGATCCTCGGCATCACCAGGGAGCAGTCAGGCAAATATGAGTGCAAAGCTGCCAACGAGGTCTCCTCAGCGGATGTCAAACAAGTCAAGGTCACTGTGAACTGTGAGTACAGCAGGAGCCAGCAGGTACTAGGTGCCCAGGGTGCACCTCTACCTCCAGTGAGCTCTAAATTAGATTCCATTAGCAAAAGAGCATTGTACTTCAAGCAGATGCTCCTCTGGCCAGGAATGCACATTTATACATTGAACACATCCAAGGGCAGGACTTGGCCTTTGAATTTGATAAATCAACTCTAAATGTAATCCATAACACATTTAACAATACCCTTTTTTACTCACACTACAGGATTAAGAAAACATGATCAGACAGCACTAACATTGCTGGCGGTCACTATGCTGGTCTTCATGGAAATGAAGGTCATACTACTTAAGAAAAAACAGCAATTTGTATCTGGAATTTCCATCTTAACGCATTGTTTGTCAGGAGGGAATGCCTCAAGATTATATTTTATCCTCCGCTATTGAAATAATTGGCCTTGGAAACAAATTAGAGCCACTGTGGTCAGATACCATGTGTCCCTGATGGCTAACACAAATGTCTGATAAGTTAATTTCCGTTACCTATTTGTCCCAAAGTATGGGCATTAGAAAGGAAGATCACTAAGATGCATAGGTAAGTGGGCATACTTTGAACTTCTCAGATGAAAGGATTCTTAGATGTAGTTCAAAAGAGGGTGGGTGGAGGGAGGATCTATATGATGTGTGTCACCCAGCAAAGGAATAAAGAGAATTCGTTTACCCTGTTCAGTTAGCACTGACTCTACATCACTCAAATTCAAGTTCCCACATCACACAACTGTGGCTAGTGGCAGGGACAAAGGGAAGCTTTGACAGTTCTTCCCTTCTATGCATTGAATGCACACACATCCTACATACACACACATAGGCACACAGACATACATGTACAAATATCTTAACCCATATTTGAAAGTATCCTTTAGGCTGTGATGAGTACTTTCTGTCATCTCATGTCTTCCTATGTACTAGGTTTTTTGTATAAATTCTCTCTTTTCTACTCAACAACCCCAGCAAGGTAGATATAATTGAGACCATTTTAGAGTTTGAAAAACTTCAGCCCAAGGAGGTAAAACTGCCCCTTCAAAATGACACAGAAAGTAAATGTAAGAAAAGGGATTCAGACTCAGGTCCATTTGATTCTAAAGCCCACACTCTCACGAGGAAGATAAGGAATTTTCAGTTCCACATACCTACTATGTGCAGTATTGAGTTAAGAGATTTATATTGGTCGGGCACAGTGGCTCACCCCTGTAATCCCAGCACTTGGGGAGGCCGAGGCAGGTGGAACCTGAGGTCAGGAGTTTGAGACCAGCCTGGCCAACATGATGAAACCCTGTCTCTACTAAAAATACAAAAATTAGCCAGGTGTGGTGGCAGGTGTCTACAATCCCAGCTACTCAGGAGGCTGAGGCAGAAGAATCACTTGAACCCAGGAGGTGGAGGTTTCAGTGAGCCGAGACTGCCACTGCACTCCAGCATGGGCAACAAGAGTGAAACTCTGTCTCAAAATAAAGAGAGAGAGAGAGAGAGAGAGAGAGAGAGAGAGAGATTGATTGATTGATTGATTTACATTTGTTGTTTAATCCCCACAGCCATTTTAAACCTATGAGATAAGCATCATTAGTCTTACTTTAGAAATTTGGAAACTGAGGCTGAGGAAACTTGCTAAAGTTTACGCAGCCTGTGCTGGGATGCACCATTACCTGTGGCCTTGCTCCAGCCTTGCAGACTTCTGAAACAAGCAGCAAAATCTCTTTCACACCAAACCTAGAGGAATCCAATAGATACAAATGACTCTGCTATAGTTTATGGCACTCATTTCCAAGAAGCAAGGGGCTGCATTTCATGAGTTCTGAAGTGCTTCTATCCCTAGCTGTTTTCAAATTTTTTGGTAATAGAGTTTTGAAATGCCAGTTATTACTATTCTTTTCTAGTGCTGGGTGTGTTTCAAAGACACATTAATGATTGCAATGTTATAAAATGCTTTAGGACCTTTATGTCACATGAAAGGAAACTTCTCTGGCTGTTTGTATAAGTTTATAATTAGGTTAGCTTCTTTTATGTACACACAACCATGCCATCATCTTCCATCTCTTCCCTGACTTTTGGAGTTAAGATTTCATTTTCTCTTAATTGACCTTCAACTTAATTAGATTTGTGAAAGTCCAATCATGGTGTACATAGAAAATATTTATGCTTCCATTGTGTGAAACATCAAAGTGGCCTGGATTGCAGATGGTTCCCAAGATCAAAGCTAGCCGTCTGGGTCCTATTATTATTGGTGCAATTAGTCTGACATTGCTTCTTCTTGACTGTCCCCAAAGTGTAATTTAAAGCAGAAGAAAATACTTACAATTTTCAAGAAAAGACTTTTATGAAAATGTGAGCTTTTGCTAATGATGAGTGAACCACAGAATATGGACAGAACCCTGAGATTCTAAAAAGATACCTCATAACAAATTATATGGAAAACTATAATGAGTTTACTCACACATCCAGTATGTCCTAACAAGCAGGACCTAACATGTGCCTGACTTTATCAAAATTGCTCAGTAAATGTGTATTGAATAAGTAGGTGAAAGACTCACAGATAAACTCTGCCCTCTTAACATTTCTTCAAATTTTGCAAATAATATGGTCACAAATCTGGAAAAATATTTTATCAATTTCCTTTGGAATCACCTTTTACCAAAACCTCATGAGCTGTGTTTTTATTATATCAAAACTAGTCATCACAGCACTTGTCCTGTTCAAACAATTCATCCAACTTAAATATAGTTGTGTTAAGTAGATGAAGTCTCTCAGATTGAATTCTGGAACCGAGTCTGCCTAGCAACACTCTTGCATACAGAGAAATGCCCAGGATCACCTCTATCACTTCATCTAATCCTGCTGGCCATGAAATTTATTATTTAAACTGATTCTGTTTCCTTTTCAAAACACAGGCTTTGGAATTGGGTCAGGGGATCAGGATGGTTAAGATAACTACTGGCCAAATAGATTATTGTAGTGAACAGACCCTGAGTACTACCACTACAAGAAAGAAAAAATCTCAGGGCTGTTAACTTTCTCCCACCAGCACTTCATTGACTCATTTACTCAGTTGTTAACAGATGTTTGTTGCAGGGCACTGAGAGACTAGAGCAGTAAAGAAGAGAGACTAACAGTCTCTCCTGTTGAGCTCACAAGCCGGATTCTATGGTCTCTCCTTTTTACTTCTTTTGGATGGCACTTCTCTGCAGTAGGCATACAGCATTACACATAGCCACTTTTATATGCAAAATCTATTTTCTAAGTGGTAGGAGGTCCTGGAATTTACAGAAAGCTAAAATGTTGGCTCAAAATCTCTTCAACTGAATAGGCTTAGTATAAATTAGACAACAGACAGGACTTCCGGGTTTCTGTATCTTACCCAACAAAGTAACTGTTAATTTCTTTCAGATACCAGTCCTAGGGACAGTCTGTTCTTTCATTGCAGGTTCTAGGTGCAGTTCCTCAATTTCAGTTCTCACAGTGCATTAAATGTAACTATTTTTGAGTTTGTCTCATCCTAGTGCCCAGTACACCTAGAATAGTATCTAGCACCTAGTAAATGTTTAACAAATACAAACTGTTAATTTTATCTAGACTCTTGCAATACTGGACTCCTTTCCTATTCCTGGAGAATTTTTTCTCAAAAGTTGCTCCCAGCTCTCAAGCCTGTCTCCGCCCCATTGACCAGCTGATGTTCCCACCTTCCACTTTCCCACAGGTCTCTCTCCAAATAGGTTCACATTGTCATCCTCACAACTCCTTTTCCCTTTATTTGTCTCTCTCTCTCTGAATTCGTTTCTGCCTCCACCCTGGTGTCCAGAGCTAATCAACCCAATCAACACCCATGCTGGGGCACTTGGGGAGCTGACATTTCTTAATGTGGGCTTGCCTTACATTGGAGAGCCATTTATTTAGTGGAAGCAAAGGTTGTCACAAAATACACAATTGGGCTGGAGAGACCTCCAGATAATGTATATATATTTTAACTGGTATCTTCAGTGATTTGATTCAAAAATCACCTAATGAGAAAACATTAGGAAAATAACTTTTTTGTTTGTTTGTTTGTTTTTGAGGCAAGGTCTCACCCTGTTGCCCAGGCTGGAGTGCAGTGGCCCTATCTCAGCTAAGTGCAACCTCTGCCTCCCGGGTTCAAGCAATTATTGTGCCTCAGCCTCCCAAGTAGCTGGGATTACAGGCACGTGCCACCACACCTGACTAATTTTTGTATTTTTAGTAGAGATGGGGATTCACCGTGTTGACCAGGCTGATCTCAAACTCTTGATTTTAAGAGATCTGCCTGCCTTGGCCAGAAAAATAACTGTTTAACATGGAACCAGACTGGCCAGCTTTTCTAGCTTTTCATAGTTACACCTATTCAGTCTCCATGCTCATCTTTAGTTTATTCTTGCCTTTGGGTAGGTAATGGTAAAGACATATCCTAATACTTATGAATCGATTATGAGGTCTTCAGAGGAAATATTCAGTGACAACCCAGAGTACTACAATGTTTCATTATAATTTTGCAATATGGACAGGAACCATAATATTCTAAGTACCTTCAGAGTACCCAGACTCTCCTAGAGATTTCATATCAATTCACTGTAATCATCACACCAACAGTGGCCAACTATATTAATCCATTCTCACACTGCTATAAAGAACTGCCCGAGACTGGGTAATTTAGAAAGGAAAGAGGTTTAATTGACTCACAGTTCCACATGGCTGAGGAAGCCTCAGGAAACTTACAATCATGGTAGAAAACAAAGGGGAAACAAGGCACATTCTTCACAAGGCGGCAGGAAAGGGAATGAGTGCAGGAGAAACCACCAAACCTTTATAAAACCATCAGATCTCATGAGAACTCATTCACTATCATGAGAACAGCATGGGGGAACTGCCCTCTCGATTCAATTACCTCCACCTGGTCTTTTCCTTGACACATGGGGATTATGGGGAATTACAATTTGAGATGAGATTTTGGATAGGAACACAGCCAAACCATATCACCAACCAAATGGGAGGGTGTATTGGGCCTGGTCTGCCCCAGTGAGAAGTATTTACTTTATCACTGTCATTGTTTAATATTACTGGCACATGGTGACTTTAAAAAAAAAAAAGCAACTCTAAATCAGTCTTATTATCATTTCTAAATTCTCTCAGATAATGTGTTTTTTATTGCCTACACCCTCTGCCTCTGTTGCTTTTTACACCGCTGCACACTACCCATGGGAGATGATCTATATCATCCCCATGTAGAGAGGACGAAAACAAAGCTCAGTGAGCGTAAGCATGCTCTGACACAAAATCAAACAGCTTTTGTGAGTGGTGGACTTGGAACTCAAACCCAGGTCTAACTCCAAAGTTCTTTCTTTATCCATGATACCAAGTGAATAATACTATAAAATAATACATGTAATCACTAGGTGTTTAAAGTGCTCTCATATTAATGACTTCATCTGATATTTACATCAAACCCGTGAGATAGACAGACAGGCATCATTGTCTGTATTCCTAGGTGAGGGGCTGCAAGGGAGCATTGTGTCCCATGGTAACAACCTAAGTGGCACTAGCAGAGATTGCATCTGCATTTCCTGACTCCTAATACAGGTTTATATCCACTGTGTCACCGCATGTTGTGCCATTGTTGGTACCCTATAAATAATAGAAATATGCAGCATTTATCTTTCCATCTACCGGCCTGCTCCCTCCCCAGATGGTATTTTTTTCCTGTTAGAAATTCATTGTTCTTCAAAAGAATTCATTCAAATAGATGTACCACAGCAGAGAGGTTCAGAACATGAGTTTCAGAGCATGACAGACCTGGGGTTAAATCCATGGTCCATCAAATACTGACCATGTGAATTTGGACAACTTAATAACCCTCTGTAAGCTTGTCTTCTCTTTCATAAAATGGGGTTAATCATATTTACCTCCTAGGGCTAATTGTTTGGATAAAGAGGATATCTAAAACCTAGTAGAGTGCTGACATGCAGTAAATGACTATACATTAAATTTTCTATTCAGAATATTCTTTTATATGAATATTCCCAATATTAGTAAGATTAAATGAATGATATTTTATTTCCTAGTCCTCTGTTTTGTTTCCCTATTCATTCTGATTGAAAGAGTCTTGTTATTGGTGATGTCAGAAGAAGAAAGGCCCTATTAATATTTTCAGAACATGGAATTTTGAATTAATGTAAACTGGAAGAGTCCTTTGACAATTGTAAGCTATTCCAAAGTCATATAAAGAACAACAATGGACCTCTCTGTGCAGCATTTTTATGAAGCCACATTTTTATTATAACCATATTTTGAATAAGGACATCTATTATTTTAACTACACAAGGCATGCTGCAGTATGATTTGTAATAGTCTTTCTTAGCCTCACCTATTCAGAATTCATTACAAATGAATTTTGAAATGTTCATTTCAATAAGCCATGAAAAAATAAACTTGCACCATGGTGTCATTTGAAAAATATTAGAAACAATGAGCTCTTTGTATATTTATCAGTATTCATATATTTACCCTGATACAAGAAAATTCCCAAGTTTTCAAAGAGAGAAGCAAGTAGCTGGCCTTTGTAACTGACTAGATTAATGCACTTGTAAGTGCTCAATCCTAGTTGACTGCCAGCTTCCCCATGCTGGGGTCTCTGAAGGGCTAATAAATAGCTTACTGCTTAGTAATTCAGATTCCAAACAAATTGACAAGTAAGGAAAAGAGTGGTCAGGAGACCTAAATGTTCCCATTTTTAGAGATCAAGGTGGCTAGAGATAATAGGTTAGTGTGGTCGACTCACCTCCCTAATCATGGCAGCCCTGGGATGGGATGGGCCTGCCCACATGAAAGCAGAAAGGAGAGAGCCCAAGTAAGACTTCTGTCATAGAGAAACAGAGGAGAACCTCTGCTACCAGCCAGAAGCTTGGTCCCAAAAGGAAGAAAGGAAATAGATGAGTCAAACAGGCCCAGTTTCTTCTTCCTAAATTTTTCAATCAGAAAAATCATTTATTTCCCCTGGGTCCTGAAGTGGTAGGGGATGAAGGGTAAATAGTCACCAGTTTGCAGTTATAACCATGTGGCTCCAGAAACTCACAAACAGTGGTTAAATTTTATCTTACAAATTGGGAAATTGAACAAACAAAATTCATAAGCAAAATTATCTTCAGTCAATGTCAATGGGCCACTGTGCTACAGATGATGGAGTCATTGGCAGCTTAAGGACACAATACAGTGAAAAGAAATGAGGACTGGAAAGTAATGTATATTGAGTATTCTACTGCTGGTCGTCTATTTCTTTACTTATGAATCTTATCTCAGTGGATGGCGTTACCCAGATGCCCAAGCCAGAAATCACAGTGTTGCCTTTTCAACACTGCTTCTTTTCCTCACCCTTATGAAATCCATTTCTAGTCTCATCAGTTCTGAGGCCTACTATCTCTCAGCCTTCAAATGTACTTCCCTGCCTTGGGTTCCACATTTTTTTTAGTTTTTGAGACAGAGTCTTGCTGTGTTGCCCAGGCTGGAGTGCAGTGGCTCAATCTCTGCTCACTGCAACCTCCATCTCCCGGGCTCAGGCAATTCTTGTGCTGTAGGTTCCCGAGTAGCTAGGACTACAGGTACACACCACCATACCCAGCTAGTTGTTTGTATTTTGGTAGAGATGGGGTTTTGCTATGTTGGCCAGGCTGGTCTCAAACTCCTGACCTCAAGTGATCCACCTGGTTGGGACTCCCAGAGTGCTAGGATTATAGGCATAAGCCATCATGCCCAGCCCTAACATTTTATAAGTGAGGAAACGGAAGCAATATGACTATGGGCAAAGTATTAAACTCTCAAATGAGGAAGGACAAGGAGGAACAGAGCCTGGATTTGAGCTCATGTCTACCAGACTTTAAATCCAAGCCCAGAACCTCTATTCTGTGTCCTTTATTAATATCTCCCCACAGCACCACTACTACTATTGCATTATCCTTTGAACTGATGTGCTCTAATGATCTATATAACCAATTTTAGAAGCTAGCTTCTTTTTTAAAAAGATAAAAAAGAAAAAGGCTCAAACTGGTACAGATGTTTTCCCAGACCACAGATCTGTTTAAGAGTAGAGTCAAAATCAGACCTCAGATTTCCTCTTCTCGACTGCTAATTCTGGTTCTTAAACCATGGAATAGATAAATGAGTAATTGGGAAAGTTAGCAATTTAAGAGTTAAATTAGTTAAGGGTTTGAAAATACTCTTGGATCATAATGATGCCAACCACCCATTTGTAAAGAATGAGCAGTTTTAACTAGAATTGGGATAGTTTACAGTTGGAAAAGATGCTATAAATCATTAAAATAGGATCCCCTCATTTTATAGGTAATAAAACCAAGGCCCAGAAAGAAAATGTATGATGGGAAGTCCAAACAGCCAAACTCAAACTAAATCCCAGGACTCCTAGTTTCCAATCCAGGTTTCGTTTTACGACAGCATCTTCCCATTTAGTGCGTATACGGAAATAAGGCAGTAAGTCTAAAGCAAAACAATACCAGCAGCAGTAAAACAACAAAACCCCATTTAGCATGCCTGTTTACATACAAGTGTTTATTCAAATGAGCTCTAACTCTGACAGTGATTTAAAAATGTCTAAGCTTATGGAAAAGTAAAATCAAGAAGGAAATTGAAGACAAATCAGATGCTTTCTCGTACACTCTTTTAAACTCAGAGAATTACAGTCTTCTATAGGTAGAAAACTTAGGCAATAGTTTTTTAGCATTAAAAAAAATCAGAAATAAGGAAGATAGACCAGGTGCCAAAGGGCAGGGTTTAAATGAGTTTACCCACTAACGTTCACTTTACTAATTTTCCTAAATGAGCTTTTTCCTCTACAGAGTCTAAACAGAGTGTCTGGGTCTGTTTTCCCCATGTGTACATAGCCAAGTTGCCATTTTCTAGCAAACAACCTTTGGATAGGAAAGGCCTCTCCTTGAAGGTCCATAACCTGCACAAACACAGCATCATCCGGTGCAGGAGGCTGAGTCTACAATCCTGACACAGTCAAGTGGACATGCAAACACTCTTTCCATCCATGTAGGACTGTTTGAATGAGTCATGGAAAATTAGAGTGTCAAATGTGTTTCCCAGCTGATTTAAAGCCTGTGATAGTTTTGTAGGCCCATTCCTGGGCATAAAAATCAAGGGCCCAACTGCCAGAGAGAATAGAAGGCTGATATAGCAGTAAGTCTTCTATGTACCAGGATAGGCTTTAAACCATACCCCCACACATAAAAGCTAAATTTACCTGGGTTGTGATGATAAGGGAACACATTAAAGAAAAGAAGGTAATCACCTAATATTAGTTTTGTTTGTTTGTTTGTTTGTGAATCCTGCAACAGTATCAGACCAAACTTGCTTTGGAAAGGCTTTAGCTGGCTATTATTTTCATCAGACTCCTCAAGGCCATCTTAAACTATAATGACAAGAAGAAAAAGAAAAAATGGTCAAACTATATGTTGAGATTCCTAAGTCCTTTGGTATCATTGCTTCATTTATAAAAAGAAGCTATACAAATATTTATAATCTATAATTGTATACCATGACCTATTGGAGGAGGGATAAAGAAATTCTAGATTCCATTTCCATAAAACCCTGCTAAGTGTCTCATTTAAGTAAACCAAGTCTATGTTTTCATTATCTCTTATTTTTATTTAGTTTTTTGGTGATCAACCCCATTCAGCTGATCACATAATTCATACAAATGGAGCTTTAAGATGGCTCCCTTCCTGCCTCTCTCTAATCAGATTTTCCTTCTTCATTCCTTCCTGAATAGAAATTATAAGCACCCCGACCCTCATATAAACTTATGTGCCTGTCCTTCCTACAGATCCTCCCACTATCACAGAATCCAAGAGCAATGAAGCCACCACAGGACGACAAGCTTCACTCAAATGTGAGGCCTCGGCAGTGCCTGCACCGGACTTTGAGTGGTACCGGGATGACACTAGGTATGTGCCAAACCTACCATCCCCCGTGACTCCACTGCATGGGCCTGGGGACACCGGAAGCCCCACAACAAAGCCAAAGCCAAGCCAGTTGTAATTGTGTAGAACTATATTCTCACACTCTTCCTTTTTAATATCTCTTACCAAATTCTTTGGGGCCTGTAGCTCTTAAGCTGAAGCCCAAAAGCAGTCAGGTAAAATATAAAAACAGTTCAACGGGTAGCTTTCACCTACATGTCTTTCTTGCCTATAACAGAAACTCAAACCCATTCCCTAGTTTTCTCTGTTGATGGACATAGATTCTGATAATATGGCATTGCACAATTAAAATAGGAATTGGGCATGGAACCACAAATCCTAGCTACTTCCTTTCTCTCCTTTTCCTGCAGTGTCAGGATGGGGAAAAATTCCTAAGCTAAAACCTTCACCAGTGTTCCTTTCTATTCTTCTGTTTTTGAACTCTTAGGATAAATAGTGCCAATGGTCTTGAGATTAAGAGCACGGAGGGCCAGTCTTCCCTGACGGTGACCAATGTCACTGAGGAGCACTATGGCAACTACACCTGCGTGGCTGCCAACAAGCTGGGGGTCACCAATGCCAGCCTAGTCCTTTTCAGTAAGTATGCCAAAGCAGGGCCCAACTTGGTGGAATTAAATTGACTTTTCACATGAAAAACGTGAAAACCATTCCCTTATCTATTAAAGGTTCCCTTAAACACAAATAAGGATCTATGCACTGAAACAAAAATGCAAGGTTCTCAGTCCCTGTGCATAAGAGAGATTTACAAATGGAGCAACTTCTCTCTATAGTCTTTCTTACTTCTGATAACGGCCTTGTTGTTTGTTTTCCTTAGTTTTTGTTTTTTTGTTTTGTTTTGTTTTTTCCTGTTTAAGCTGAAATAATATTCAGAGAACACAAGTCTCTTTGGCAGTGGTCCTTTAAGAAGCAGAGGTGATGTAAAAGCCTGGAAATGGATAACAGTGTGTGTGTGTGTGTGTGTGTGTGTGTGTGTGTGTGCGTGCGTGTGTGTGTGTTCTGAAGGCAGTGATAAGAGTGATTGAGGAAGAAATATTCAGTGAGAATAGATAAGGTGCTGAGAGAAGGCAGAGGCTGGAAAAAGAAAGTACATTTTTAACAACACAAGAGGAAGGGTGGAATAAATGATTCAAACGTAAAATCTAAAGGAGGAAAGATGGTTGCAGAAAGTTTTCTGTATGACAGTAAGAGACATTACTTTTCTGATATATTTTTGGAACAGAGATGGAATGGTAGGAAACAGGAACATTTCTGAAGACCAGAGAAGATCCTGAAAGTAGACCAAGGAGGGCGCAGTCATTCTAAAGTCACTGATGTTAATAGGAGACCCCACCTTGGAGTCCTGCGCTTTAGCAGCAAGTTAGAGTCAAGTCTCCCACTCCCAGCTTTGCTGGGCAGGTGACTATGAGCACAGAAGAAGACACCCTCTGAGAAACAGGAGGAGGCTAAATGGAGTCTCAAGAAAATGATAACGTTTGGAATAGAGACACATTTATCAGAATAAGCAAAACAAATCAAAAAGTTAGCTCATGATGAATCAGAAAGTTCATTTGGACTAAAGGGAAAAGTCCAAAAAAAGTACTGTTATTCTTTTGGAATAACAAACCACTAAGTTGTTTTTTTTTTCCTGCACAGATTCTATTGGAAAAACTGGAAATATTATGACCAGAAGAAATCTTTCTATCTTGCTATATTCCATTTAGATGAGCCTTCGAGAAAAAAAAATATTTTTAGGAAAAAATCAACTTAAGTGAGAGTTCTCTTGAAATGTAGTGTTAAAGCCATTTTAAAACCGTTTAAGATTAAACTCCATTTATAAAAGCAACAACCACAAATGACTCTAACTTTGGCCTTTAGTTTCTCATTCATAGCCCTCATTGACTTCAGTCTGTGACAGTTTGATGAGATACAGTTATACAAATGCTGCCTCCACACGAAGTTTAAAATTCACAACATGTTTACTTGTCTCCAAAGAGCAAACATCAGTATTCTTTGCCGCAACTAGAGACATCAATATCCCTAAGACATTTGAGAATATACTTCTTAAGAACTGTAGTTACCTGATTCATTCCTAACATTAAGGATTCCATAAATGGTAGCCGGGGGAAAACAGCCTCAACTGGGAATTTAAGATTTACCAAATCTAAGTTGACCTGGCTAGGTAGAACAACATACACTTAAAAACTTAAAAAGAAGGTTGTTTAGAGATTAGTGAAGAGAAGGTAGAACAACTGGATGAGTTACAGAAAGCGAGCAATTATACATTTGCATTAAAGTATATTTTCTTTCTATTTAACCTAGACTAAGAACTATGCTAATGATATATTTCAAATCATAAATAAAATACCGCCTATAGCCTGAGAGAGAGGAAAGGGAAAGAGGCTGGAAGGATGGAATACTTGAGGGAGGAGGGAAAGTGAGCATAGACTAGGTCAAAGGCAATGAGATCCTGCTAGAGTTCATGAAAGGTAACATCAAGCCCTACAATACCAATGCCCTTAACCCAGTAAAATTGAGAAATGTCAAAAATCTTACAGAGTTTCTGTTTGTAAGCTGAAAATCAGGGAATAATCAGACAAGTGTATCCTATCACACTGCCCTTTATGATTTAGTAGAAGTCACCCTCCATTATACATTTGAGGATTTTGTGGTGCAGTGATTAATGATGTAGTACTTCCTGGTGGTCCCTCATAGGCACTACCATAGTTGTGTCTTTGGCAGCATGCAGAGGCACCACATGCATCAGCATTTGGTTTAGAATGGATGTCCCACTTTTACGGGAAAGTTAGGAGGTATAATCCTTACTGAAAAATAGAATATGGGCCGGGCGCGGTGGCTCAAGCCTGTAATCCCAGCACTTTGGGAGGCCGAGACGGGCAGATCACGAGGTCAGGAGATCGAGACCATCCTGGTTAACATGGTGAAACCCCGTCTCTACTAAAAAATACAAAAAACTAGCCGGCCGAGGTGGCGGACGCCTGTAGTCCCAGCTACTCGGGAGGCGGAGGCAGGAGAATGGCGTGAACCCGGGAGGCGGAGCTTGCAGTGAGCTGAGATCCGGCCACTGCACTCCAGCCTGGGTGACAGCGCGAGACTCCGTCTCAAAAAAAAAAAAAAAAAAAAAATAGAATATGAAAGATCATTAGGCTTTGAGGTAAAAAGGAACTATTCGAATTGCAGAATATTGTCAAATCTATTGCACTATTTCTTAGATCCAAGGCCTAAGAACAAACATTTTGGGGGAGAAGCTCTCCTTCTTTTGTAGCAGGACTGGCAGTCCCTCCACCCACCCACCCACCCACCACCAGTTAGTTTTGGGAGGTCCATTGTTACAACCTGCATAGTTAGAACCTTATATTTCACAGAGTTCTAAAAGAAAAGAAAGAAAAAGAGAGGGAGGGAGAAAAAAGAAAGGAAAGATGGAAGGAAGGAAGGAAGGGAGGGAGGGAGGGAGGGACGGAGGGAAGGGAAAAAAATAAGAGTACATGTGTGGGTCAATTGTCTGCTACTTACGTTCAAATAAATGGGATTAATGGGGAAAGGAAGACACTGTGCGAGTGTCAGCAGAGGTAATTTTCCACAGAACAGAGTCAGGAGGGGAGAAACGCTCGGGGGCAGGTGTCTGTGGCCACAACCCTGATGGAAGCACTGTGTGGGCAGCGGGGTGCTCTGCTGACCAAGCCAGTCCAGAGAATAACAGGCAGCTGGTGAGCCTCTGCCAGCCAGCGGCAGCAGCAGGTAGAGACCCAGAGCCAGAGCCCCTGAAGAGTTAGCGATTATTCATCTTCATTGGTGTGTCAGCGCATTTTCAGCCGTATCCACAACAGTGATGAGCTGACTTTTCACACAGTGTCAACTTGCGGTCACATGCATACATATACTTCCCCACTCTCTATTCAAATACTGATCTCCAGAGGGGTCAAAGTCATGGAATGAGAGTGTAAGAATACATTGCATTCATAGTAATTTTTCCCCAAGCTGGTGGAAGCATTCCTTTCTCATTCATCTAGTTCTCCACACATTCTAGCACTGTGTCTGTCTAAGATCCACACTACCTCAGTCGGTATAACCAAGTAATGCCCTGTATATCTTTTTCTTCATCCTTGGGCTAAGCATTACCTTATCGAACGTTTTGAATACATTAATCCAATGGCACAATGTATGGACAAGGATTCGGCTCCCTAGTCTTTGTCAGACAGGGGGATATGCATGACATGGATGAAAACTTGGACTTCAAGTGATGCCAAGACAAGTTCCATCATCTGCATAAGTAACTCAACAGACTGTGTTTCCACACTGATAACTAAAATTCACCCACAAAGGTGATAGGTGTATCTTGTTTCATGCTCTTGTTGAGTTAGAATTAAAATAACCGACATGAAGGAAGAAAGGGTGATGGGTGATAATTTAAATGTTGTCACTTCTTATTAAGTGAGTGCAACGTACTCTGCAGTATGCACTGTGCTAAATGTTTCACATGCATGATCTGATTTTTACAAATTATATTTTTGTGTCAGAAACGGGTCTTGCTATGTTGCCCAGGCTGGAGTGCAGTGGCTATTCATAGGCACGATTCCACTGCTGATGAGCATAGGAGTTTTGATCTGCTGCATTTCTGACTTGGGCCAGTTCGACCCTCCTTAAGCAACCTGTTGGTCCCCGACTTCTGGGAGGCCACCTTGTGAAATTTAGTGCAGACACCCAATCAGCATAGCACACTACAGCCCAGAACTCCTGAGCTAAAGCAATCTTCCCACTTCAGCCTCCTGAGCAGCTAGGACTACAGGCACGCATCACAACAACCCTACTATGTACTTGTGTTTCTCCATTACATAGAAAAGTTAAGTGACCAGTGCAACTAAGTAAGGCTGAGCTTGAGATTTAAATTCAGGTAGTCTATTTCGAGAGTCCAGGCCCTAAATCAACACATTATCTGCACTGGTGTATGTGGGCATAAATACTAGGAGATATATCTTGTAAGTTAGGAGGTGAGCAGAATCTATTTGTTTTTCTCCTTTTTTCACTCAACGAGGTCTTTCCACTGTCTTTATACTGCTCCATCCCTTCCCACCCAAGGGCACTGCTTGTGTTGCCTCCCACTTCCGTTTTCATTAACCCCCAGTAGCCTGCTACCACCAGGTAAGTTCGATGATTGGCTTCTCTTTGGCATGTTGACGTTCTCAGTGAATATTCCAGCCTAGTAGTCAGCGTTTGGTCTAGGAGGAGAATAAGGAGGAGAATTTTCCCACACATTAAAGAACAATCCCACTGATTGATTACCTTGTGCCTTAGAGAAATGCATGGATTATAAAGGTCTTTTGAGGCTTTTGAGTACAAAAGAATAAAAATACAAAAAAAAAAAAAATCTACACTGGGCTTTGCTGCATCCATGTGTAGGAGGTGTTTTTAATTTTCTTTTTAAACTTTAAAATATCATTAAGTTGTAAAGCCGTAGTTGACTACATTTCAAGTACTACCAGAGTAATCCAGCCCTAGAGGGTGTCTTTATAATGAGGGCCTCCCCGTTTTCTTTAAAAAGTATTTTGTTATCGGAAAGACTTGCTGTTTAAACATACAGC